CATCAGCATGGTGCCAAAGTAAGATGATAGTTGTTCAACACTCGGTACTCTAGGTTCCCAATGCCGCCGCTGCCTTAGAGAGCCGGATACGAAGCCCACTGTGTAGCCGATCGTCAGTCGACATCACACTCACAAGGTGGCAGAAGCAGGAAGTGGTTTCTAATACTTCAGCACCAATGCAGATTCGCGGCACCATTGTAGATTGCACCTCCGGTGAAGGCTGCAACAGACAGACAGTTTTGCTTGTGTTGATGGTGAGTCCGAATTCGGCCGCTGCCGAAGTCAGAGCACTAGTCATGTGCTGCAACTCATCCGCGCTGTGTGCAAACAACCCACAGTCGTCAGCAAACAGCAACATACGGATAGTTGTCTCACAGACTAGGGTTCTCGCACCGAAACGACGAATGTTCAGCAACCCAGCATCAATACGGTGCTCTACACGAACACCGTAAGCACAAGCCGATTCAAAAGCACAAGACATCAAGGCATAAAGATATATGTAAAACAGAGCAGGAGCTAAGACACAGCCTTGCTTCCCACTAGCGACAACTGCAGTCATCCGTGCTCTGTCCACAGCTGCACCCTCGCCCGCATCATCATCATCAACAGCAGTACATCAGCCATTTGAACTGATGCTTCGCTGCCATACAACCATGAGGACCTATGAAATAAAGAATAAAAAGAGAGAGAGAGAAGGGAGACTTACCTGAAAACCTTAATGTCCTAAGAAAACATTCAGGGTCAAGGCGCCTACACCTTGTGTAGACAACATACCGTCACAAACAGCTGGCTATCGTGCAAAGATAAGGCGGCATCGGCGAGACAGCTTCCTTGCGGCTTTCACTGCCCCGCGTCATCATCAGCCATTACCCCGCAGATAACTCAGCACCAAACACACTTTAAACAGGCAATCCGATTAGGAGACGGCAGCAGACTCGCCACTGGTGTCGACTGCGAGCCATCTCCTGTAAAATCTCGAGTCAAGCACAAAGCGAGTCACGTGGACTCCAGACCGGAAAGCGAGATGGACCAATGGCACCCAGTTTGGTCGTCAGTGACTTCATTTCTCGCTGCCAGGTCAACTTCTGTGCACCTCGAGCCTTGCGTCACCCCACGTTTGGCAGACTGAACAAGGCCCTCCTAGGTAAGGGGTGATCAGACATACGTATCACTTGCCCAAGCCAACGCAACTTATTCAGTGCTATCTGTTGTTCTAGGGAGCTAGCATGATTATCAGTACCTAATACTCGCCTACGCACATCATCGTTGCGGACACGCTGGTGCCATGCGACACCAGCAATGGTTCGCAGACAACGATGATCAAAGACTTGAAGGCGCATCAGACCTTCGGACCGAAGGGGCTAAGTTTCACTACCATAGAGCAGAACGGACCTCACTGTGGCTTTGTATACACGGCCTTCCAGACGGAGGGAAATTCCCTTCTATCGCCAAAGATGCCGCAGGTTCAAGAAGGTAGCACTGACTTTTGAAACGCGTGAGCGGACGTCAGTTTCTATGCGCTTATCGTTGCTGATGCAGCTGTCAAGATAGGTGAATTGATCAACCACCTCGAGTTCCTCGTTAGCGAGGGTCAAGAGGTCAGAAAGTGGCTGGTGGTCCTGCAGCAACACTTTGAAGGGTTGATAGTGCCGCCGTAACCTGGTCGAAAAGCAAGACGATATCGTCCGCGTAATCAAGATCAACTAATCTTTCACCAGGCAGCACTTCAACGTCTACATCGTGAGATTCCGCAAGGGAACACTCCATGATTGAATCCACAACGAAATTGAACAAAAATGGGGAAGTCAGACAGCTCTGACGAACGCCACCTGTGGTCAGAAAGCTATCCGATAGGCCACCGTAGACCCTGACGCGGCCTGTAGTGTTCGAGTATAGAGCACGAAGGATGTTCACATACTTCTTGGGAACACCTTTCCGCGCAAGTATTTCGAGCAGAATTCATCGATCGACTGAATCGAACGCACTCTTGAAGTCTAGAAACACAGCTATTGTCGGTCTGCGGTGTGCATGGCGCCGTTCTAGCGTCTGCCGCAAAGTGAACATATGACCTACACAGCCACGTTCTAAGCGAAAAACTGCCAGTTCTTTCTTTACTCGGGATTCCCGTTCCGCAATAAGGCGTTAGACTTATACCCCTATGGTTAGAACAGTCTGTGCGACTGCCCTTCTTGTATATTGCCACTATAATCGATTCGCCCCAGTTAGCCGGGACACTCTTCCTTCCAGATACGTTCGAATAGGGAGGTCAGTGCTTTGCAGAGGATCTCACCTCCATCTTTAAGTAGTGCAGGTGGGAGGCAAGCCGGGCCGGCGGCACGAAAACGACTGAGGGCTGTGATCGCGTTTCGGACCTCGCTCGCATAGCACTGTGCAGACATCCAACTAAACTTACAAACTTACTCGGACAACCAAACTTACCCAACACCAGCTACAATGCCTCGCGGATCGCCGTATCAAATGCCTTGGTGAAATCAACAAAAAACGAGTACAATGGCTGGTGTCGTTATCTACCCTTCTCCAAATGACGAGCCACAAGCACCATATCTATAGTGCAGCAACCCGAAAGGAATCCACATTGCTCTTTCGCCACGTTAGGTTCCATAACCTGACTGACGAGCGGTTGAGCAGGATTCAGGCAATCACCTTGCCCACACAACTCAGCAAGTTGATGCCACGGTAATTCGTGGCACCTTGCTTGCTCCATTCACCCGTGTACAGTGGTAGCACAAGAACATCCTTCATGTCAGGAAGCGCTACGTCCACAATCCACACGCGTTGCACCAAGTGGTGTAGTGCAGTCACCAAAGCGGGTCCGCCGTGTTTCAATACTTCAGACGGGATCCCGTCGGCATCGGCACACTTGCCGTTTCGCAGCGGAGCAAAGGTTCTCTACATCTCATCCAGTGTCGGCATGTCCGCCAGACTCGCCTGCACATCGTTCCACTTCAGGCCGTTCAAAGTAGGCCAGTCGATCTCTGAACGGTTGTCCAAGAGACAGTCAGAGTGTTTTTGTCAGATCTGCATTATGTTTGCAGTCTGTATGCAGGTAGCGCCTGAACTACCATCGATCAGCGTCCTCAGCGCCTCCGATCTCAGTCCATACACCGCCTTCAAGGAGTCAAAGAATTCCTTGTGTTGGGGACGTCCGGCATAGTATTCCATTTGCTTCGCCTCCTCCGTCCACCATTCATTGTTAATGCGACGGAGTTTTCAGGTCAGTCGCTGTGGAAGTTTGTAAAACTGACTATTCTTACCCAAGTCCCTGGGGTCAAGCACATGTGCAGCAAATGCTGCAAGATATATATATATATATATATATATATATATATATATATATATATATATATATATATATATATATATCCAGCCTTGGAGAACGTCATATTTTGAACATTAAATGCGGTTATGTAGCTCAATAACCAACATGGGATGAGACTGCGAGTAACATGGTCCCCTGTTAGAGATGAAACCTGAATGGAGCGTCGCATGATGCGTATTGTGACAACAAGAATGTAAATCAGATGGAAAAACACAAAAATCATGAAACTTCGCATTCGCAGTTGATGCAAAGGGACTAGTTATGAAGCCCAATGAAAAATGATTGCCATCTATTGGGTTATTTATCTCTTTTGTACAGATGACGTGACTGTTCCGAAGGATGTGTGGTACGATTCACAGAGACCTGAACTAAGATACAACTGATCTTTGGTAGAGGGATAAACCTTGCAAAATTAAGGACCAATGAGAAACGGACTACCTCGAGAGGACCTTCACGATTACGGTGCCTTGCGAACGCATCACGACTACAAACGGCTGGCTGTCAGGCTAAGCGACATGATCGAAACAACCTCGTAGAGAACGTCATTGACCCGAGACATAATAGACCTTACAGCACATGAAACTTAGCGTTAGGCAATAAGCAGGAGACGGCAGCAAAAGCGACGCTGGTACTGGCCGGGAGGATTCGACACGGAAACCAAGATAAACCAACAACACACAATCTGGTGGTCAGATATATCATTTCACCCCACAAGGTCAATAGGTGCCTCCATCGAGTAATATGCCTTGAACTGACATGACAAGGTACTCTTGTACGTGTTGTGAGGGCATTCGTGAGTCAATGCAACTTAATGAACTATATCTGATTATCCAGTAAAATAACCAGCGCAGTACCAGCTTGTGCACCTTATCCCAGCGGACAATGTTGTGACGCAACGCAAGCAATGCGGTGCAGATAACGATGGCCAAAGACAACCATGAGATTGGCCGAGTTTAGTCCCATTCCCGAAAACTGTTTGTGGGAACGGTGCTTTGAAGAGCGAGAGAACGCTACTTCAGATGGCACAGAAATCGCAGAAGTGAGTTCCTGAAAATCTTGAAGTATACCTTTTACATCGTCGTCAGCGCCAATGCAGCAACCAATATGGATGAATTTATGAGTTATCTAACATCCTTCGTATCTAAGGATGAAAGTGAAGGCAAACTGCTAACGGTGCTACAACATCATTCCCAACGCGCAAGTCAGTTTGGCATTCGTGATCTCCAAACAGTGAGACAATTTCATCTACGCAAGCCAAATGAAGCAGATTTCCATGGGTTGGACTACAAACCTCCCAGAATCACGTGACCATGAAACTGGGCCCCACAAGATGAAGTTTGGAGTGAAATCGAGTGGGAGTGAAGCAAGTCTAGCGTACTCAACTTGCAGTCGTCAGGGTGCTTCGCTGTCCGCCGTAGACTAACGCAACCTGATGTGGCCAATAGGGGCACTTAAAGCATTAACATACTGCTTGGGAACACATTTCAGGGCCACGAAGTCGAACAGAGGCAAATGATCGATTAAGTGAACAAGCCTCGTGAATTCAAGTAACTCATCCATGGTCAGCTTGCAGTAAGTGCGACGCCACTACCTCTTCTAGCGTAGAATGAGAATTCGATCACTTGGGGCCGATTTCCAGTTTAAAACGTCTCCGCTTGCCTTACATCCGGATTTTCCATTCCGTGAAATGAAAAGCGGTTGGTAAATCTGGTAGCATTGAGGGAATCTGCATTGTGAAAATATGAGTTAAAGATGAAACAGACCAATTTATGTGAGGGCATAACGCCCATATTTTGATGGACACAAATTCTGCTAGTTAGTGCTAGTTAATCGACAGAATGATCCCAGTATGATAATCGGAGAATGCCTGGGGGTATGCGATTTAGCATGCTCTCCGTCAAACTAACTACATGGCATTTATTTTTGTGAATCATACTGTCGATGCTGTCGACGATTGTCTCAACAACTGTATCTCCAAAGGTTGGTAACATTGGTTGCTTAGACGATTCTACAGCTTTTACCCATTGCTTCCGCTTCAAGTATTTGCGAATGTCTCTCACCATCTCAAGTTTCTCCGCCCCTCCTATGAAGTCTTTTTGCAACTTATGTTTTCACCTGTTTGCAGAAAGCATCGCTCAACTGCATTCCGGCAGATTCCCCGGTCGCTATGGATGAGACCGCAACAGGTAGAAGCGCCAGTAGGGCGTATCGTCGAAGAAATGAAATGAAAGTTTAGTGAGCAGCTCAGTTTGCTTTTCATACGTGACAGCGTGCGAGAAGCGTTTCTCGGCTATCAGTCAAGAATGTCTCATGTGGCAACTCTAGTTAGACTGCAGCGCTTTAAATTCTATCTTTGACTGAGAAGTATACTAGCCATGAATAGGTGGACAGGTCTTACTGATTAAGATGAGCTGAACATCAGAGAAGGGGGCTTTTCCTATGAAGGGAGTGACAGCTACCTCCAGTGGCCGTTCGCTGACAGTGGTTACCGGTAACATCGTGGTAAGGTCCTAAGGCATCTAAATAAAGTTTGAAAACGCGAAGCGCGTGTCAAGACGGGATGCCGCTTGCATTAGTTTATCCATACGCGTACGTTAAGCTTGTGTCTTGTAAACGCGACAGAACTTCAATTTCACATGAAGTAGACGGGTAAGCTATCTACCACTAACTTGAATAAGTTCAGTTCAGTTCAGTTGAGCAACTATGGTCCGGGTACCGAAATGCAGTAGATGCAGTTACCAGAATAGCAATAAATAAACGGCATAAAAATGAGATTGAATGTAAATAGAAACTAATCAGGATGGAACAAAAACCGACAACTAGATGCAAGAAACTGCATTCAGGAACGCCAATGATTGAGTGACTCCGCCATGCCCGATACGGTCCTCAACCATTGGGGTGGGCCATCCCGGGGCCCCCATCCACGAACACGACTTGCACCGGGCTGACTAAATCTCTTAAGCAAATTCTCAAGCCTCTAGCCACGTCACGCCATCTCGCACTTTCGTCCTACATAGTGCAACCACAGCCTATAATGCACTATGAGGAAACCGGTCAGTGGGCATACGATGGACATGGACTAGCCAACCTAAGCGGTTAAGATTCAGCACTTGACAAAAACCAATTTGAGGACCTCAGAAGTGCTCACTAGGGATTCCCACCATACGTGAGCAAAACTTGATAAGTTAAGAAATAAAGAAGAGGTGTAACCGTGGGATCAAGTCTAAAAGGGTGTGCAGACTGTTCACTTGCAGACGGGTCTCCAAAGTAACAAAAACGGTTTCGCTAGCAATATGTGGCCTCGATAAGGTGAAAGACCGTCTATCATAAATCGTTTCAAGACTGGGTGGACCCAACTATCAAGTGATAGTTCAGATCGATAGAGTTCAGAGAATGCGGTACAAGAGTGAGATAAATCGATTGACCAATAAAACATGGATGACTTGAACCAACGATCAGAGAAGAGCTGCACGAAGTTCGCGTAGTGAAACTGGCCGAACGCAAAGGATCAGCTGTTGACATATCGGAATCTCATCATGTCGGTACTTACATAGACACGGGCAAATAGATAGTGTGCCGCTCACGTGTGACCGCGAACAGTCTCGTGACAACAGGTAGTGTTTGCGAATCGAAAGACGGGTCACCCACTTTAAAGAGCAAGGCTAGCATATGCATAGAAAAACACGGAGAGCTCATATGAATCCATCTGGTTATATAATTTTCAGTGTTGAACAAAGATTAAGCAAACGGAGCAACCGAAATAATGATAGGCGAATCACGAAAACACAAGAAATTGGACTGAGATCCGCACTTTATCAATAAGTTCTCCAGTTGCCTTAGGTCAGTGCGGTCTGACAAAATGGGTTATGCTGTTAGGCTAATTCATGCAAATGCACGAGCGAGTATTCACTGGCTATTCATTGCCTAAGAGCGTCCTCTTGTGCCGTTGACTAAATATGTATAACAGATTAAACAATGCTGCCTATGGCTCGTAATTCTCTTAACTGATGTAGTAGGTGGAGAAGATGCCCACCCGATATGTGAAAAAAGGCGAAAAAATAAGGAATGGCATCTGTGTCGAGGCCGTTAAAGTTAACGAAAGCGCAAAAGCCGAATAAGCTGTGGCGAAACAGTTGTAAACTTACTTGTAGATTCTCCGCGGTCGCTGAAGCGGAAATGGGCGGCAAAAGAGCCTGGCTACCCACAACTGCTACTGGACGCTGTGCTTGAGACAACAGTAGAACCAGACGGTTCACTTGTTTGTCAGTAGGCAACGGGAAAGTGGGCTCTCGAATGGGGATTTCCGAGGGATGCGTTTCGGGTGGACAGGGTTTGATCTGGAACCCGTTAGCAAACAAGCGGAAAAGATAAAAGCGAAGGTACCTGAATGAAGGATCAGGTAAAAGGAAGGAAGCGGGGCAGGTGAGTGAGGAAGTCACCAGCTAAAAGGAAGCCGACTAATACAGACTGGTAGAGTTTAAAAAAAGAGCGTGAAGGGAGTATGGCAAACAAACAGACCTACCAATTGGTACAACGCTGTCTCCACGATCGGGGGCTGTCGGATATGCGCATGTGTTCTTTCACCAAATGGTAAGGATACAAAGTATCGATAGGAAACTCCACAATAACAGGGCCTATAGAGGAACAGGAACGGGAGAACTTTGGCAGCGGATATCATGGACGAAATCGACCAGTAAAGCATGGTAGTGAGAGCCAGAGGATGGGAAAGGTGGTAGATAAAAAGGATCGCAAAGCACTGCGGATCGTAAAAGAAAAGCAGGAATTCAATGTATATACCAAACGGTACCTAAGTTACCGACGCACAGCCGTCTGGCAGAAACAAGCGATCATCAAGCCTGTGTCTCAAGAGATTGTCAGTGTAACTTGCAGATGTGGATTCGATCTGGACGAAAAAGGTGGGCAACAGGTTAGCCCATTCCCTTTGGTGCATAAAGCAAATATTTTCAGTTTCTATTTGACACAGTAAATCCTGTTTAGTAAAGTAACACTGTCTATGTCCTTGCTACATTCAGTATGTCTTCTACGCAAAATTCATAGGAAGCGGTCCCAAGCACACAGTAACCATTAGCAAACTCGATGCAGCGTAGAGTTTAACTAGCTTTCAAGTCGGTCCCAACCTAGACCTCGAGTGTTGCACCTAGAAACGTGGGTTCGTTACTCGGGCCTAGGAAATGATATTTGAAAGCCTCATTAGTAGAGCCAATTTGGGAAAACGCACTCGAACGGTTTAGTAGAACTGACACAATCAGCACTTCTTGTTCAAATCCAGTGAGAGAACTATCCTTGGGTGAGTAGGCGCTCTGGGTTGACAGTGACCCAGTGAACCGTCTTGGGAAAAGTTCACTACGGCCTGCATCCAACCCGAACAGCTTGTGCTCAAGCGAGACAGTGATGGGGGTGCAAAGTTCTTATACCTCGTATGTAGTGAGCAGGGGAATGTACAGACTGTGAAATAAGCAAAAGTGCACTAAACATAACGTTTGCGTTGCTGAAACCTCCGCTTAGCCTTGTCAAGTAGCCAAGGGTGTTTAGAGAACTACAAATGGATCCCATCAAAGGAGTACCAACTAAATTGCATCCTAGTTGAATCGCATGCCTCAGTTCTGACGGATCACCCAAGTAATAACCTAGTAGGCTCAGGATACATAGAGGAAACCAAAAGCAGACGAAGCGCTTAGTATCTCTAGAAAACAGATGTGAGATGTTTCAGAACACCAGTTTTCAGCTAAAAGTGTCTCAACAAGGAGAGTGATTAAAGTGCCTCATGTGCAGGGGATGGAATGTTGTGAGTATCTGTTAGCTCCCAACTACGTGACTGCTCCGGAAAAGAGAAAATAGGAGTGCCCATGGAACTCTGCACTTTAAACGTCGCATTCATTTCCACTTTTATATCCTCGTTATGGCAAATTTTGATCATCAGCCCAAGTGGTAACGATAGGTGCAAGGAGTGTGAGGATCAGTTTGCCATAGATTACAGAATCTGTTAAATTCCCGTCGATCAAATGGGCGATATTATGAGACAGACAAATTCCATCATTCATATCCGATGAGGCGGAAAGAACAAGCTGAGTACCACGTCTCACAACACCAAGCCTCGAGAGTACGCTGCAACGTCCGACAGCCGCTAAATGTCAGGTGATGAGAAATGCACAACGTCGGTAACGGAGCTCATCAGGAAGAGGACACAATGACTAGTGTCACGAAAAGTGAACGCATTGCAAAAGGTATCTTGAAAGTAGCGAAGTGTTCACCTGATTCCGACACCACAGGTTTCACACGTGACTCAGCGTGTAGAGGAGAGGATTAAAGTAACTGGTTTAAAGGAGGTAGGGGCTTCGCCAGTACCGGTCGGTAAGGAAGAAAGAACAGTTTCCGAAATCTAAACACTTATTTGTAGCCATTAGACGGGTTAGAATATGTGTTTGAAAAAATTGATTAGAACAGCTAGTTTAAAATAATACTCCTAGTGGAAGTACCGTGGAAGAAAAAGTACACTCTGTGGAGAAAGCAAAGTTCGAGTTGATGGTGTATGTGATAACTGCTGTCGTCATCCAGACAACTACGCTAATCTGTAATCGAGTTAAACAATAGTCAGCTGCTACAGAAGTCGATCCTTCACGGGCAAGCGATTGACAGTAGAGGACAGTCAGTGAAAATCACGAGACCAGATCAACAAGAGCCCCCGACAGATACTGTTCGCGCACTTCGATTAACGACGTTTTCGAGAAGATGAGGCCCACTCTTTGACTCAATTAAACGAGCTCATCATGACGCGCTTGAAAGTCAGCCAATCAACGGAGCTGCGTAGATGGATTCCCATCGCCGCTGCATCCGCTGACCGAGCCCATTGGGTTCGCCTCCCACTGGTTGTCTGGTTCCCTCCTTGGGTACATATGTTCACTCTGACTGGGTATTTCTACCACACAAACTATGAACATTAGATCCGTAAGAACTGTCTCGTGGCACTGGGCGTCGCACGGTTAGGAGAGGTTCCCGTCCGCTGTTGCATAGGATAAGGTAGACAAACGAAAATGTCCTACCGTGAAGCATAACTAATGCCCATCACAAATCCACTCCACAACGTAGAAGTATCGTAGCACTCACAAGTTCCCATAGTTGATCAAGTGCGACCGGATGCCTTCGTGGAAAAGGCTGAGGACTGGATGCATAAACTCACGGATCAAGGTCTAGTGCGAGGGACAGCACCACCAGATTGCACTCACGGCACTGAGGCTAGAACTCTAGAAAGGCCATAGGAAGTAAACGCCATAAGCTGCGCAAGATCAGTACTTCGACACCGTTTCATCCAAATACTTGAATGGTCAATTGATGCGGGGATTGACTGGTACCAGTCCGAGAAGGATGTCACGCATCGGAGGGGGAAAGCTAGCAACATTCGCTAGAACACATGATTTGTTCGTGTAGTATCACTGTGGCGTGAAACATTGGTCTTCAATGCAGTTGTTCTCTGCGATATAAATACAGTTAGAGTGGCTTATCGCTTCTGTTTGATCAAAAGGCGTCGCTTACGAGAATACAATGTGAGCAGAAGTACTTCGATCACAAGCCACGGAAATAGTTGATGCAAATGATGAACGTTCGAGGTCAGTAGGTGCTAAGCATGGCCAGTGAGGTCATTGAGCACACCTATGGAGTGTCTGAAAGAATCCGATTGATTATGCCACTGCATGGCAGATGGGAAGGTGAGTAATTGGAACGATATGTGCCCTGTGAGGAGGTGAATGCGGTGTCACAAGCAGCTGTGCGAGTTGGCCCGCAAATTAACACTCTTCTCTTTAGTTGTAAATCGACTGAAAGTTAAGTTTTAGTGCCGCGGCAATAGTGACAAAGGGTGATATATGGAGCAAGCCGTGAGGACAGCCATATCGACACCAGCTCCGTTGATCAAACCAGTGTTGCGCGAAATCAATTGCAAGAAAAACTGGCCATGGTTGCAAAGACGGTGGAGAGCGCAAACCGTATACTATCCGAATGGTTCGTGGTCAATAATGAGGTCAAGAAACAACTGATACTGGAAATAAGACAGGATTTGATAGATATGAGGATCGCTAAGAGCTCAAAGGAGAGCACAACACAATGAAGTATGCGCAGGTAGCCGGCTCAAGTTGCACCTAACTGAAAATGTGCGGCATACAGAGAAAGAGGAATAGATGGAACGCAACGCGGTACCGAAATTACACATTTGTGGTCACATCGGACAGTGAAACGGGAACTTCAGTGGACACGACATCCGGTATCACTTCATATGCTGCACCGATTTCACGCAAACACTTCTCTATGCGCCCGCAAAACCGTTCAAATGTAATGCAGGGTTATAACACAACAATGCGGAAAACGCACACGTAAAAGCCCCGGACAAGTGGAATGTACAGGAAACTAGTCTAATTGCGAGATGGCACGGTCGAGTGCTGGAAAGCGGCAACCACTCAATGACCCGTGCGCTGCAATGGGTGAGAAACACCTCAGCTACTGTGCCGCAATACATAACGGAAAATGAAAATAAATACAACAGTTGCATGTCAGCTGAGCTACCAGCAACGGATAGGCATCGTTCCGGTAAGCTACCAGCCGGCTACTAGGCAAAAAGAAAAATTATTATGTTTCACGCTGAGAAATGAGATCGTAGATGGAGGAGAAGGCTAAAAGGGATGGGGAGGGACAAAGAAACTCACAGCACGAACGCCACTGAGGTCGGCTCCTAGCCATATCAACAAGTATATCCAGCCAAACATGTTCATCATTTTCGGACCCCAACCAGGGAGCCGGCACGCTCCATCCAAGGCCAGCTACGAAGTGAGGGTCTTCATTCCTCTCAACCAAGTCATTGCATGGCAACCCCTCCTCTTCTTCCATCCACATCCCCGGTGCGCAAACAACGCACGTCGTGGAAGTCGGTGGGCTGGCATGCGCAACACGTGGCCCAGCCATCGGAGCCTGGTGCGGGAAATAACGGTGCTGAGCGGTTCAATTCCTTTTTCTGTGCCATAAACAATGCGTCGAACACGCTCGTTACTTACGCGGTGTTCCCACCAAATGTGGGCCAAACTGCGAAGGCACCGATGGTCGAACGCAACTAGCCTCTTCATGTCCGCCGATCTTAGGGGCCAGGTTTCGCAACCGTACAGTAAGGTCGAACGTACCGCTGCATTGTACACTCTACCCTTCAGGGCGAGAGTAATGTCGCGACAACGCCATAGGTGGCGAAGACAAGCAAAAGCACTTCGAGCTTTTGCTATACGGTTCGTGATCTCGTCTTCGATCCCAAGGGCGCTGATGCAACTTCCCAGCTAGTTGAATTTCCGAACGACTTCTAGCTGATCCCCACCAAGAGTCAGCGCAGGAGGCGATCCCTGCCACTTCGAAGGAACGCTTTGCATTTCGATGGTGCAAAGCAAAGCCCGAAGCGGCTGACAGCCAGTGCTAATCTGTCCAGCGCGGCTTGACACGTTTGTGAGCTGTCACAGATGAGGGCAATGTCGTCTGCATATTCTAAGTCAAGAAGTTGTTCTCTTGGGAGTAGCTTCACACTTTCCAAGTTATGTCCTGTCAATGCAAACTCCATGACTTCGTCAATAGCGAAGTTGAAGAGGAACGGTGACAACGGGCATCCTTGTCGGTGAGCGAAAGAGCGCCTGTGGAAAAACAAGTGCATTCTAAATACACGGAGATTTTAGCGCTGCCAATAACAGTAAAAATGATATCAAGTCCTGAGTACACAGGTAACGTGTGATCAGTCGGCTCAATCGTGATGGATGAGTAATCACCGAGCAGCTGCTCAAACGCTACGTTACTCACGTGATGGAGTTGAAGGCAGCAGTGAAACATTGCGAGTTTTGTACGAAATGCAGCACAACCGGTACGACGTTCACGCATCGTTAATCGCACTAAAAATGACATGAACAAAAGCATTCCTGTTCCGCACGGTTAGCCAGTTAGAGTGCGATGGTGTAACAGAGTTCGGATGAATGCTGCTATCACGAAGCAGCATCCTAGCTGATGGTCAGACAACAGTTATGATACGCATTCGATATCTGCGAAGACGGTATTCAGCTTAATTATCATACGCCTGGTGAGCTGTGAAGCGATAAAAGTGTAGCCTGTGAGATGTGCATCCACAAGTTGATGTCTGCACCTGACTGTGCTGGAATTCATCAATGTGGGAACGACAAATAAAACACAAGGATTGAGTCCGGCTTTACTGTTGCTGAATTCGGGCTCAGCAATAGCACGCGTACACTGACTATCTGAAACGAACAATGCTGTTCCAGAACTTTCTCTACGTAAAGCAACATGGACACTAAACAAGAGACAAGCTAGCTATTTAGAACGACTTCAGCAGCTGTACCTGTAGCGGAATTTGGGTGCTCGTTGGCGGAACAACATGGGATGTGCACTGTAGCTGTGCCACTGTATGGCTAATCCCGTCCGCTGAATCGATGCGAAAAGGATACCGAAACACCAGCAGTGTGGCCCTACGAGGGGCTGCTGCCAAACAGGAGGGGCACCATGAAAACTGCGTTGATGTGCGTGATAACGACAACATGAAGACAGCCAGCGAAGAGTGGCTTGATGAGACAAACGACTGGTTCGCAAGCGGTAAGCAGAGAAGAACAACACTGTCCACAAGTTGTTGTTCCACTTGCTGTAGCGTGTGGCTGACTTGACATGCTATCGAAACGGCCAAGAGTGGCTTCATTCGAAGGCAAATCAAGTTGAGATGTGCAATCTAGATGAGCTTTGGGATATTTCCAAATTTAGTTGATAATTCATACCGACACTGTGGTGGGAATGTGGCACATCGTCGACACAGTTAGGCAAAATGCGTACAGGTAATCTTGCGTTTTAGTATCATTAAGGTGTATGCCAGGTAGTAAGCCCGGTATGGCTGCAGACAATGCCCCTACACATCCGACGCTGAACCGTGGGTTACACAACTCCGTCAGATATCTACCAGTTGTCGGGACAGACGAAACGTATGGTCTTGGTAGAATAACAATTCTTAAGAACTGGTGCTCTGAAGGAACTGATAACAACCCGGTCAGTGTCTTGTTAATGTCTGAGATAGGTTTGCTCCAAGTGTAGCATTAGCGGGTGACCAATAGATGTCGATATCACAAGAGTGATATACGAACAAAATGCGCATATCAGCTGATGCCGCACGTCGGAACAACAGTTGGTGGGTGTCGCCCTGACCCTGGGAAGCAACCATACGCGTTCTCCTACACACAAGTGCAACGCGTGCTGATGGCCTTTTGTTGGTCCGATAGTAATGTGGTTCAAATCCTTCCTTCAAGTTTAACCTGGGTTCTTGGCGTGCAAGTAAATTTATCAGGCGCGATGTAATTCCGTTATGGTCCCTCTGTAAGCGCAGACCTCTTGTGGTTGCGTGTGGGCAAAATGAAGAGCAAAGTCGAAAACGGAACATACCAAACGCACCAGAAACGGAGTGTTAGCGCGCATTCTTTCCAAAGACATCGAGTGGGAAGTGAACGTAGTGAGATGAACGTGGTAGGAGAAAACTAAGAAGGAGGAAGCCACACAATCCGACGACAGAGGGGTTCAAGTTAGTAAGCCTAGGCGTCGACCGACAGAATGCTAAACACCAAGAAAGGCGACTTTTCAGTATGACAAACCCACTACGAACAACCTTGTAAAGAACGGTCCATTGCTCGGCGATTCCATTCGGATGTGAGTTTGCTAGGCATATAAAAGGACGCAGACAAAATGCGTATCCATTTACACTCGCTTTAGTTCATATGTAATTCAAATTGGTGTCAATGAGAAAGCACAGAGGAATAATTCCATCGGACACAGCAAAACTGAAAATCAAAACACGAATTGGAAGGTGGTAAAAGGATTGGCTACCTGGTGTGTCGGAAGATGCCTTGAAAAACGCGGTGCATAACACTGGCACGATGTCCTTCACTCGAGTGACCCGACCGGACCACTTGCACAAAGAATGGAACAAGCTCAATTGATCTATATCTTGCAGAGAACCTCGACCGCGTATGAGACCGGCGGAGGCACCTGCTAGCAGAACCAACGGAGACTCGGCCATCTGAGCGTTTTTAATCGCAGTCACTGTATTGGTCACTCCAGGCCCTGAAAACGGTATACGAAAGCACATTCAATCATTTGTGAAAGAAAACATAGAACTAACTAGGTTAGCTGGGATATGGAAGACGAAAATGGATGGGCAGATATACCCCCAGAACCAGTGATTGTAATACGAGATTCTCAAATAAATTGAAGACGAGGGAGTTGATAAACAGGAAGGAAAGCCTACTGATAGTCGATAAGTAAAGCATAACACTGATGTACAATATCGTATGAGTGAATGAGTTTGCATACACGACTAGTGGATGCGAGCTCGGGGCGAATGGTCACGCATGTAGCGTGACAGTGTGGTATACGTTATGAAGCATATTGAGGACGGGAATTACAATAAAGACAAGCGTCGTGACACGATGCAGAGATTGCAAAAGGATGATATGTGGCTGGGCTGGGAAACCGGAGAAAACAAGTGGCTGCAAAGAGCAGTCCAGTAACGAGCCGAACTACTGAGATTACTGTAAAGAGTGTAACCATGTGGTGAATACAGGTCTCATTCTCGGAACGGCTGCTATTCTGCGCTGATACATCACTGGTTCCCACTGGGTCTATCCGAAAATAAGAAGCGCAGAGATGGAGAAAAAGCAGAAGTGAAAGACCACACACTTCCGAAGTAGCTGTAACTGCCAGTATGTATGTAATCTCAACAGTCTAGCAACTAGACATAGAGCCAACAAAGCCATGGAGATCAGTGGATAGGAGACAGTCATTGTGTCGTAATCATCGTAGCATGGTAGTTGAAGGTGAGCAACACACTTCAGCTAATATGCCGCAAGAAGAATGGAACATTGTAACAAAACATAGAACAAAACATTTTTAGTTTGTTTGTCACACGCCGATTTTGCTCTTTTTTGCCATTTTTAAAGTTGGTAGTATTAAACATGTGAATCAATACAATACTGTACATAATTCTTCCACTGACTCCGGTTGCGGGCCACGTCTTTAAGAGTCCTAAGACACTGGCACTCCTCATCTTTGGGTCCCCATCCTGGAAGACGTACGGACCCAACTGCGGCTAGACACGACGTCAGCGATTTCATGCGCTGACGCCAAGTGGAAGGCTGACCACCACGCGGTCGCCTCCAGCCAGGTCCTTGACGAGCAAATAGAGCGCGACGCGGTAGACGCTCAGGTGACATGCGTAGGACATGACCGAGCCATCTTAACTGGCGCAACAAAACCAGTTTGTTGAAGGAAATACTTGCATTCCCCAAGATGCGACGTCGAATGTCATTACTATTAACTCGATGTCGCCACCAAACACGAGCGATCCTCCTTAAGCAATCGGCATCGAAGGCAGAAAGACGACGTATGTCTTCCACGCGAATCGGTCAGGACTCGCACCCATACAACAACACTGAGCGAACTGATGCGCTGTAAACGCGGCATTTTAGCGATAATGAGACGTCGTGACGACGCCACAAGTGCCTCAAATTAACAAATGCTGATCAAGCTTTAGCGATCCGAAGCGAAACTTCTTTGCTGATAGTGCCGTCAGCAGAAACACAGCTCCCGAGGTAGACGAAACTATCTACCTGTTCAAGTTGTGCACCTTCGAGAGTGAGCACGGGAGCAGGTGAAAGCCAATCCTGGAGCAGTACTTTACACTTCGATGGGGCGAAGCTCATGCCATACTTAGATGCTTCAACCGCCAAACCATCCAGAATGAGTTGCATACCCTGAGGATCATCACCAAGTAAGGCGATATCATCAGTATAATCTAAGTCGGTCGCGCGCTCACCCGGTAGAAGCTCTAGGCCAAAATGTTGGAAACCTACTAGAGCATTCGACAGAACGTCTTCGATTGCGAAGTTGAAGAGGAATGGGGACATAGGGCAGTCCTGTCGCACACCTCTATTGACAGCGAATTGCGAGGAAAGCTTGCCATAGACCCTCACTCTGCCGGATGTATGAAGGTAAAGTGCTCGTAAGATGGCGGTATATTTCTCTGGCACCCCGTTCTTTAGTAAGCAACGCCATAAAGCAGGTCGATCAATGGAGTCAAAAGCGGCACGTATGTCTAGGAATGCAATGATAGTTGGCCTGTGGTAAATGTGGCGATGTTCAAGGAGCTGGCGGAGCGTGAACATCTGATCTACGCATCCGCGGCCAGGACGGAAACCAGCTTGTTCTTCACGGTAGTATGATTCACGTACTGAGGATAGTCTACGAAGCAGAATGGATGCCAATAGCTTAGAGGCAACCGAAATAAGACTAATCCCACGATGATTTGCACATGAAGTGCGAGCGCCTTTCTTGAAAATTGGGACAATAACTGATTCGCCCCAAGAGGAAGGCACTTTCTCTTCATGCCAAATTTTTGCGAACAGCGCGGTCAGCTGGTTAATGATCGCCACGTCGCCGTACTTGAATAAGTCCGGAGGAAGTCCGTCTGAGCCGGCAGCCTTGAAGCGCTTCAAGCGCCGAAACTCGAGGCAGACTTCTGCTTCGCTGGGTGGATTCAGTGGGACGAGCCAGGGTGGACAACAGGGTGTACTGCATGTACTGGTGGATGGTGGAGGCCAGTTGAACTGCGAGTGAAAGTGCTCGGCCCAGCAGTCCATACGCCTCCGTTGGTTGGTGATCGGAGACTCATCCATCTCACAAATGACCTCACTGACACCAGGCTTCCTGAGGCCAGTGGACCGAATGAGTTGGAAAAGCCTGCGAGTGTTGCCAGAGAGGGTAGCAGTCTCCATCTCTAAAGCACGCTCAGACCACCATGTCTAGCGATCCTTGCGTAGACTTTGCTTGAGCAGCCGGTTGGCAGAGCGGCGCCGCTCGTTGCAATCTGATTTCGCGGGTATATCTTTGCGGCGTTCGAACAGCTCCAGAGAACGAGCAGGGATTCAAGCCTTCAAGGGGCGTCAAGTTAGACCGCAGCATGACTGTCCGGAAATGATCATCGCTTTCCGTTTCCAAGTCCAGTGTTGTTCCACTTCTTGCGGTGGATTGCAACTGAGTGCATATGCCAGTGAAGACTGATAGCTGGTCTGGACAGAGGGATCAGTTAATCTGTTTACATCAATCTTGCGGTGTTTCGTGTTTCGGGATCCCCCAAAACACATACAGATTTTCGCGCAGACCAGAGCATGATCTGAGTCAAGGAAGGTGGACCAAAAGGACCTGCAGTCCAGTACGCTGCCACGCCATCTGAAGCTAATTGCAATGTGATCGATTTGAGATCACGGTTGTGTTGAAGAAGGGGGACGCCACGTTGCAGAACGCTTCTTCGTACGCCTGGAGTTAGTGCTCGAAAGAAACAGACGGTTGTCTTCGCACAATGTGAGAAGTCTCTCTCCGTTATCAGAGCGGTTCTCATCGAGCGAGTGATGACCACCAAGGTGGCGTTCGTATGGTAACAGGCGGCCAATCCGTGCATTAAAATCCCCAGCAAGGATAACGACATCCGACTTTTAGCATTAGTCAACAGCTGATGTAGATCTCGGTAGAATTCGTCCTTGACTGAGCCGCCACTGCAGTCAGTTGGAGCGTACACGGAGATCAAACAAGTTGCGTCTCTCTTCGCGGTGCGTGTTGATTCTACATGAATCCCGAAGCCGAACTGCACATTGTCAGCTGTTAATCGGGAACCAGTCAAGTAGTGTCGCCTCGGCCTTGCCACTCAGTGCTATACTTACACCAGCCAAACCCTCTGAAGCTGATTCTGGATCTCCAGAAAGACGCAGGTGATATCTGACTTCGTGGTCAGTGGAGGATGTCAATGCAAACACAGTGCTGGGATCTTGCAATCGGGTTTCTGAAGGGCAGCAGACATCAACGTCTAGGGAATCTAGGGTGCGCGCTAGACCGGCTTGCTGTCCAATCTGCATGAGTGTCCGAACGTTGAAGCACGCCAGACGGAACCAGGATCGGGGACGAAGGAGAGCCATAGGTTGAACTCCTTGATCTGCGGAGCAGCCGGAATCGCAGCCAGATTGTTGAACACATGAATCGGATAACGGAAAGTGAGGATTGTTAAAAAACAAACCATTGGAGTGTGATGAAGTAGGGTGAAAGTGACTAGCATAAACAGTAGCTGATGAGCACGTTGTAATATAGTCCATGGTTTTGCGAGAGGGCGTGATACTACCCGGGTGCCCAAGCCGAAGTAGGGAGTTGACTTAGGGAACTCCACCCCGAGCGTTTGGCTAAATAACCTACCAGCAAGGCAGCGATGCGAATTTAGGGAATCGCGCTCATTGGGAGGCGTTGACTGAATGATCGGTTCGTGCGTCTTTGTTTGGTAGATTACCAAACAGGGGCCAAATACTACCCATGAAGTCAGCACAATTGCTGGAATACAATGCCCCACGAAGGTGGGACATTGTCGCCGAACACTTTGCTGGAACGGAGTACACCCGAACCACCCAGCTGGCACCACGGGGAGGTAGTTCGGCAAGCCAGCTCGGTTAAAGAGTAATCACCAGATCTGCTGATACAATTGTCAGTCGTCAATCTAAAAGTCAATGGGGCGAGTCGCGATGGAACCAGCACCATGACTCATGTTATGATAAATAAGCAGAAAGGTCATAAATAAAAGATAACGGAAGCGACAGAATAAAGAAAGAGAGTAACGCAGGAGTAAAGGTTAAAATGGTAAAATGAAGGAAGGAGGTACCCTCACTTCAAAGTTGGCGTCCGTTGGTATCTCCCGATTGTTGGACTGGCGTCCTAAGGAAGATGAACACGTTTGGTTGGATAGACTAATTGACATGGCGAAGAGCCGACCTCAATGGTCTTTGTATTGTGAGTTGCTGTCCCTTTTTTGCTTAGTTTTCTACTCCAACGACGATCGTACACTCCATACATAAAATAATAGTTTCTGTGTTCTGTAACCTTTAGTATGCTATCTATTCGCATCGCGGTACAATACCAGAGGTGTTTGTTACTCTCAACTAACATGCATTGATGATGATTATGATGAAGGAATGAAGGCGATGTGAATTAGAGTTGAGAGAAGAAATCCGACAGTGCCAGTGCATTTACTGTTCATTATTCAAAAGGGTCAATAGAAACTGATGTGGCCGATCGTGGGGTCACTAGCAAGAAATGCATCAATCCCAGTTCATTCTCTGCGCAAAGTTTTGCACATTTACACCATACTGTGGACCCGTTAGGTAGGAGTTGCTGTGATAACTAGTTGGCAAACAATACGAGGTAGTCGGCCGGTAGGGATCCTGAGGACTGATGTGTTCTGTGTAAGCAGTCGGAGTACAAACGGACATTTCAGAACTGCATTTTTGGACTCGTTACCAAACACCAATAGATGAACTTCGGTGTCACTTTCTTGGTGGTCGGTCAGGCACGATCAGGCTCTTAATTTCTTCATTACGCACTGGATATGCCTCAAATGCAAGCAGCGAGACCGATCAGATTCCAACAAGAATAGTATGTCTCTCTAACTCCATAAGTAACTGAGAAGTTGAGCATCCACACACACATCCACACACCGGTGCCAGAGGACATCACTGTGGCGCGATGGGCTGCAGGCTTGGCAATAAAATCACCAGACTCGATATCAACTTCGGCTGTTCCATGCAGCAGCGTTCGCAGAGTGGATGAGAGCTGTCGTCAAGGTGCTTAAGTTTGGTGGTAGATAACCAAAGTGAGTATCTACGCCACTAGAAGCAGGAAATCAGAGAGGATCATTCGTGATCATCTCGAACATGAGGCTGATAAATAGAGAGGGCATTCCGAACACGATCCACTTGCTAAGATGCGCGTATGCCGTCGCGTTCCGTAGACAAGCATAAAACTCCAACGGCTGCAGTATAAGTGGCTGGAATAGAAAGATGATTTTCAGGTGCACTCTACAAGAACAGATACATATAAGACATAATGGATTAGAGGCGCTCTGGGACAAGGAAGATCACTAGGATGAGTTGCATGTTAGTGTGAGGATGTTCAGTTATTAATGAAGCGCATAAACGCAGCCGATGGTCTCAAAAAGACTCAGTAACACAATGGGACGGGGAAAATACCTGGAAGAGAGGAAGATATGGTTTTCATGCAGTGTGACTTCCATATGCGTTGGAAGCAGCAGTAAGGAAGAACAAGACGTACAACAAAGCCATGAGGGTTGAGACAGTCGTCTCCGATGTTATCAACCCGACAAGTTAACGTGCTAGCGCACATCGTACCCCTCTGGACGAAAGTTGAGTTAGTTGGCAGATGCCATGTTAAAATGGAGCAATGAAACCGACTGAAAGACTGAGTTGGAGTGTGAACGCCATGTTCCTGGATACAGACCAAGAGAGCAATCACAGTGATGGCTCGGAACTTTGCTGATAGACGACCAGGACATCATTGTTGATTGAAGGGGTAGCTCTTGTGGCACTCCTGTCTGAATGGATTGTGATGCACAATCTCAATGGAGACAGCGATTCGCATTGACATTGAACTTGGTCAATTCGATTACTGGGACCAGACAGATTTTGGGTGTCGCCCACCAGCCCAAAAACATGGAACTCTATGACGGGTGTCGTGATTGTAATAAGTCGAAATACTGGTAGCGTGCCGAGGTATTGGTTAGCTCGCCGGGCTGACCAATCCGATTGCAGACAATTCGTCACCAATCGAGATGACATCTTCAATGTGGAGTGGTGGTGGCTGCAGAAGTAGTGGTAGTAGCAGCAGCAATAGTTTTGGTAGCGGGAGCTGCGCTTCATAAATGATCCGTCCAATCAGTTGTTAGCCGCTGTGATAAGCGTTGCCCTCCGCGACTCGGTATGTTTGGGATAGAGGTCTCGGTCGACTGTCCAAAGAGCCCGGGCTAAAGTCACAGTCTTGCTAGCTCTTCCAACACCATAATTATATCACTGTCACAGTTCTCGCCCTTAGGTACCAAACCCAAATGCTTTGCCTTTTAGACAAACACACCTGACTTAACATATTTCCTTCCTTTAGTTAGATTGTCGAACCTTTCAGCAACAACTTTATGGAGATGTGGACCAAGGCAGTGGATCGAGCACGCACCCAATCTATGAGACTGAAATGGGAGTACGCATTGTGAAGGCCACCTTTTCCTAGCCAAGTCACATATTGATAGCCATAACTCTTCCACCCAAGAAGCGAAAATCGAGAGTATCGATATGTGTGGGCTGAGTCGGAGAGCAGTGCTTAATTGCGATATGGTTCAAACTGCAAGCCAGTCACAAAAATAGAAGCATTCGCAAGTGTGCAATCAGATAAATGCCACCGTTTGGGACACAGACAGCTTCACAGCGAAATAAAGGAAGTAAGAGATTGAATGAAAGTTATCGCTCATATTTGGTGGGCATAACGAATGATTTACACTAAAGTCCAACGGCTGGTCCACATCAGTAGTTCCCTTCAGGCGTTGAACGGGAGGATCTGTGGAACTCGGTTAACCGTCAGTTGCATGTCTACTGGTGAAAAATCTTAGTGTACATCTGGCAATAAGGCAGTAAGTTAGGTAAAACCCCGCTGTGGCCAGGTGACGGCATCAAAAGAGAGGCTACCAATTACAAGACTGAGCCCCATAGTTTTATTCCGAGTTCCTGGGTGGGGCCATCCAGATTTACCACACGAACAATCATATAAACCCCATTGAATATGGCGTAGCCATCATCAACAGTGCATCCAACTTCCAGCGTCTGACTCTACAGTTCATTTAGCGTCCGAAAACCTACTTCCCAACTTACTCTGTTATCATTTGGTACTTGTTCCCCTTACATATCGCCGTTAGTTTTTATGGCAACGTTAACGCGTGTCAGGGCACCAATTCTGTCTCTTAGGACACTGCCTAGAAATGACACTGGATGGGATAGAAAATGATCTAGAGGTGTGGTTCAATGGAAAGTGGAATGAAACAAACCATCCAGTTGGATCGTGGTTCTATAACCGTCGTAACCGGAATACGTATTCCGGGTTCATGTAAAAAGAAATGGCTCCAAGCAAGCGATGAGTTGAAGCGACAGAGAAATTCGGAGAAATATGTCAGTCAAAGAACCTGCCTGGGTGTGTTTTAGGATCTAAATATCGCACCATATTTGTTAAGGTACTAATGAATATCTGAGTATTAGTTGTTAGAAAATCTGTTGCCACATGAAATGGTTATTTGCAATCCCCCAAGATCAAGATCAATATCAATATCATGTCTAAGAAAACGAAGTATCGAGAAAAAACGCAAGGTCGGTCCTGGATGACAACGGTCCACCGCTACACGGAGAAGAATCAAACGTCATGGTTAATGAATATAAAAAGAATACCGAAAACAATTCACGGGTTGAACCAATCCAAGAGGGAAGAGCGCGATGGAACGTTTTGTAATGCAGCTATTGCACAATTCGACGAAGTTGCGAAGGAACACAATTAGGGTGCATCGCTGCGATCAATCATCTCACTCCCTGGAACACACACCTACAACTCGGCCGAATAGTGATAGAGAATGCATCAAGAATCTGATAAATGAATCGTGCTGCTCTGTAAACATCGATCAGCAACTGTAAGGAGAAACTCAAAAGTAAAACATGAACAGATAACGGTATCTCTAGACATCGTCGTCCCGTCCACCTCGATCAACTTCCAAATGACGAAAGATGCAAACTGAGCGACGGAAAGCACATACAAGCTTCTCGACTGGTACCTCACAACCTAGTATAACCTCAACGGAGCAACTCATGAGTGAGTGACAGGATCTCCAATGGGGGTTCCCGTATCACAGTTTATTAAGCGGGTTGTCTTGCATAAACTGGAGGAGAAATTGCCCCGAAAAATTAACCCGGAATGTTGAGTCAGATAGGATGGCAACACGTTTCGGGTACTGAACAGTTCTGAATGGTACCTGTAAATAATGATCGGGCCAGAGTCGATGGACCGTGTCACATGTTCCCGAGAAATACACTTACTAGTATTATTATTTCATTCACTGTGGAATCACAGTTCAAAAGCAAACTCCGCTTCTTGGAAATGTTGGGCACCGGAACAGTAGACATGCAACTACGGACAGAAGTTTACGGGAAAGTCAGGCATACTGGTTAAATGTTAAACCTCGGTAGTAATCATACAAAATGTCACAAAACAAGCCGTATGAAGACTCCATTTCTTAGAGCAGAATAACGCTTAACGCTACTTGAACCAAATGGAAAGAAGAGGAGCATTTATGTAAGTCCTTCATGCACGCAGTTTCTTCTGAAGACACTTAAATCGTAAAAATGCAAAAGTCGCACCTACATCAGCAACGACAACACAGATCGTCTTGACATCCATGAAGAACGTGTTCGTAATAACTGTCACGCTCCTTAAGACACACTACTTGATAGCAGCATGCATACCACCGGCCTTTCTGAAAATAGTCTTGTATAGACCGAAAGGATAAGCAGGATCACAAGGAGGACGATATGTCACGTACAGGATCCAATGCAAAAGTCGGGGGGGGGGGGAATTAGGTGAGCGAAACAGGGAGAAAATTGACCACATTAGAAATGATTTCAGAGTACGTCGATGAAGAAATGTCAAACCATGATTGGACAAAAATGCAGATTTTGGTGCATGAGAAAGAAAACAAAGAAAAGGGAATTCCGCTGAGCAACGTTAACTACAGAGAATTCAATAAACTTTAGTAAAAATTTTGATCCCGCATGTCAATAACTGAGAAGGAAGTTAGGAGGTTTAAAACCGCTAGTTGAAAAATCACACTAATGACCCAGCAACGAGCAAAACAGACTGCCCTACTGCGTTCTATTAAACATACTGATATCGTAACAACGCTACCGGTACTTCAAGCTATTTCAGATATTTTAAAGTTGTTAGAAAATAATACTTTATATCTGTCTGACAGATACAGAGCTCAGTCTTACCAGCAGTTACAGCAGCTACGCCGACGGATCCGGACAACCGAGATACAGCGTCCGCAGCGTACACAGCGGTGGCCTCGTGCCGCACATCAACCACTCTAATGTTCCGTTTTTCTGCAGCGACCAATATGGGCGAAATATGACCCCCACAAAGTGTGAACAAAAAGCGTACTCCGTGTGCCTAAACTGGTAAAGATAAATAAAGAACCATACACGCAATACATCCGCTACTAACTCGCCGCCATAGTGCTTAGAATTCTGATCCAACTGAAAGAGTGGATGATAGAGCATACTGAAACATACCTCAAAAGTGATGTATTTCCTCAAGTTCCTCGCGATAAACCAACTACTTATGATAATGACAATCGCGACGTAGATATCAATCATGGAGGTTATCCTGTGATATGAAAAAAGAACTAGATAAGAGCGATGTAAGATAGCGTCATGTCACCAGTTGACTTTGAGGTCGATAAAGAATTAATAACAAGCAACGAACAAAAATAAAAGACGCTGATGTAAGCAAGTGATATAATTAATGAAAATCTTTAAGAAACTAACGTCAGGATTAGGAAGGAACTGGAAAAGCTTCTGTGCAAACCGCCGATTAACATTTGTCAAAATGATGCAATTTCGCTAACATTACATCGGCACAGTGGGTCCCGCTGAATGAAACAGGAGCAGTTGCTTCCCAGTAAAATGAAAAGTTGAAACGCGGTAAATGGGAATGAAAGAAACAAAGTATTGGTGAAGGTCGTTAACACCAGAACACTCATTGCCAAGAGCTTAATTCCAGGGATTTTATCTACACGGGTCGATTAGAGGACAGAACTTGTGTGGGAACAAACTGGAAACTCTTGTGGAATTTCGCCGTAAGTACAGTTGTGAGGAACATACAGAGGCCCGAAGATGCTCGCCCTAACTACGTCACACTGAGCTTCACTGCTCCTAAGATGATTGATAAACAACTTCGACTGCACTGTTGTACTTAGGGCAGCAGCTCACTTCAAATAAGTAATGACCAATTAGAGACATCAGCAGTACGCTATACCGACGCTTCGCTGCCACGTAATCACCATCACGGGTCGCATGTGGGCTAGGGATACTGTGAAGATTGTTTGATCCCCTACGCAGCCTCGAATCAATGCCACCCGCCACCGGTTGGCGGAATATGTAGCCTGAAAAGGGAAGCAACAAGCTAGTGATCAGTAGTTATATTCCTTGCTAATACGGACAAAGCATGGTGTTTACAACTAACATCAACGGGACTTAACTTGGAGCCCGCACTGCTATCGCTCGTGGGTGGGCGTTGTAAGAAAGAAGCCACCCACCCCTCTTCGTATTCGACGACGAGGCTGCTCAGACCAAGTTTATCGGATTACAAATCGTTGACCAGCTTGGTACGAATGGGTCTAGAGACGGTTGTGAAGAGCCGCCCACAGTAGCACAAATGCCCACGACGAGCTAGCCCCATCATGGTGCGTGAGTAATCTAGCAGTCTATCGGAGCGGATACTGGACACTTCGTGTGAGGTCCAATATGTGAGCGCACGACTCGGGTAAAGAGACGTTCCAGTGAGATGGTACCTCCAAAATGAAAAGGCGAAAGGGTTCCACGCCCAGTAGGTTCTTTGTCGAAATTCAGCTGACAACTTGCACAAACTATTCTAGCCGATTTCACGTAGATGCTGACTGTCAAGAATGCTACGAGAATTAGGATTGTGTTGTGTCGCCACTGACGCCTTCGCCCCACGACCGCAAGAAGTCCAAAGACGAGCCAGAAAGAGACTTGTATATATGAAATCACAGTTGCTTATATAGTTTTGAAGGCAAAATGAAGGAAAGCTACTAAATTACACTTGAGCCAACCAACAGAAGGAAAAACGTCGAATGCAACAGGTGAATAAGCAACCGTGTACTCAAGAGCGAATCGCATATGTCCTTAAAAATAGCATCATGGGACATCCATTTACAGTGACGGGCACTGGCCAATCAGAATAACGAAATGCAGCGTTTAAACAAATGTCAAGAAACAAAGGAGAACAAGAAATGCAGACCCAAAAATTAAAAACTAGTACAATAATCATGTACCAACTAAATATTCCTTTAACATAACCAAGTAGAACAGTGATGAGGGGGAAAACCAATGGAATGTGTTCTTGCAAATGGCACTGCTAAAAAAGGACACGACGATGAGCGTCCATTAACAATGACGTGTGTGGACCAATCGGTCTAACCCAGTAGAACGTTTAAGCAACTGTCTATTCTCCTAATAGATTGGTAGTACAAACGTGGTTATTATTATTAGGGCACATTTCCTCACAGGCACTAAGCATAAACTCGGACTAATCCGACTCAAAGCTCATTGGCGAGGAGCCAGCCAGCCAATGGTAACACCCTGTCCCATAACCAACGAGAGCATTTAGTGGCTTCTGGTGGTTTATCGTAGCGTGGAACTTTCTAGGCCATCTCTGACGAACCACATAATCAGACCTTCTGGGTTCAAATAAAGGCAGTGCTGTAGTCTTTGTCATCTGATTTGATAATCAGTTGGATCATGATTCGAACAAATATATTTGCTATTCATGCTGTCAAATTATAGTGACGGGATAGACTTAGTCAATCATGGTAGGAGACCTAAAAGCCACTTTGCCACAACTACAAAAGCACTTTGAAGCCGCATAGTTGCGAATGAGTGAGGTCATCACTAGAACATTGTCGCTCAAGCCAAAAATTGTCCAGAAGACTCAGAAGTCTTCAGTTGGCGCAGCGGTCAAAAATCATCTCGATAAAAATGGCCTTTGAGGTGCTGCTATTGTTTGTTTGTCTGTACGATCCATTGAGCTACGCTGAGTTACGCTTTTATCACCACCCATGGCAAATCCACCAATGAGTAGAGGCTAGACAAACTGGGCCTCCTGGTCTTCCCGGCTGGGAGCTGGAGTGAGAGTGGCTCCTTAGTATTTAAAACGAACTCATTGTAGCCCACAGTCAAAACCACGCTGCATTGTGGTCAGGTTTTTGAACCCAACGCTTTAGGTGAGCAGCGTAGTTTCTCTTTAAATTAGGGCAACCTAACAATATCCCGTCAAGACAATACGATGAATTTATCTTCACAACGTCTTGTTGCTCTGATCACCGCAGAGGATAATCAACGGCACCCTATATATTACATCGAGCAGAGTGGATGGAAGTATGGATGTTACCACTGTTATCGACAAAAAGCCAAATGGAAGGATCCAGCCATGTGTAGATAATTCTACAGTTAGAGGGTCATTTTGCGTGTTTACACTGGACCATTTAAACGCGTACCTTCAGATCGAGATTCCAGAGGAATCTCTGGAATTGCTAATGATAGACACCAAACGAGAATTATTCTAGTCCGTAGATTATACCCATGGAAATGCAAGAACACAATGTTGCGAAGAGTACTCTATTCGATAAATCTCCTCAGGCATTTACAATTATAAAATGGAAAGGCACAAGGCAAGTGGCTGATGAAGCCAAAGTGTTGGGAATAGTGGAATCACGACAAACAGAAACTCAAAAGCAGTGATCAATAAAATCCATTAACAACACATGTGACAAAGCACGTGTTACCTGATCGGTGGAATGCCAAATGCATCATCCGACCACTGTAGGCGCACGGAGTGATAGAAATTGGTGAGCTAATTAGGGCCAGGGTAGAAGAAGCCCTTGCAGCAAAGCCTTCTGTTTGTATAATTCCGGTTGAAATATCCTAATCGCAATCGCTTCGGCCGTCCGCAAAATTTGCTTTCTAAGAGCTTTAGTGTAACGTGGTTGTACTTCATAAAGTAGTTGGAAGGCATCAGCGGTCCTAATTCGATGTCCGCTTTCCAACAGATGTTCCAGGATGGAATTGTTGGGGCGACTGACGATGCCTTTCCGCAAAGCCGCTGGGCAGTGCTCCGCAATGCGTTTATTCTAGTGTATTCAACCGCCAGTGGCTGAAAGGACAAGCAGTCTGCTTTGCAACCCGCATGTCACTGGCTCCAGCCTGCGTAGGGCCCCGAGTGACCCTTTGCCCACGCGCGACTGGTGGCGGTTGCGTGGCAGCGAAGTGTCGGTAAACCGTGCCAGTGCACTGCTTATGTCTACTAGAAACTCACCTGCTATTTGGTGTAAAATCGGCCCCGGCAACATATCGGCAGATAATGGATACGATGTCATATGTCACAACATAACTAGACGATGTCGTGGAATCTAAGTCGGAAAAATCGCGCCAGCGAACAGAAAATGTGTTTGGCAGAATAAAATGGTATGGATTCCGTGTGTGCGTTCTACATGGCGTTCATTTAAAACCTTGGTTTTATCAATGATCGAAATGAGAATGCCTCCATCTAAAGATGTGGTGAACTTTGTTGCGTGCCTGGGTCTCCCAGCCGCGTCAAGAGCAAGAAAGCGCATTGGCTCGGCACGCAAGCGTTCTATTCACAAGTGAGGTTATGTGCAATTAGCTGTGCTTTCAGAAACTCACTCGCCCATTCGATCGATCGCCTGGTCAACCGCAATGAGGCAGACGATGCCCTTCGCTTCAGGTTGCAGCCACCATCATATGCCTAGCTTTTTCTTTTTGTAGTATGTTGTTGCAATAAGTTCCGCACGGTTTTCCGCCGTGCGTATGCCTGCTGTCTTAGGATAAGGTTGCAGATACCTTTTCTCGGTGCGGCTGCCGATCCTAACTTTGCGGAGTTTGTCCATGAAGTGCTCTCCTAATTTGCACCCGAGTCCGTCTAGCGATATTACTCCCTATCCTGACTTCGTATCTCCTTACACCCATGCGGCCCTCAATCATTCTCCACTGCCAACGTTCTCCCGAACCTGGTACTGGTTGTACCCATACTTCTCCTACAGCTGGGGAGAGGCATCTCGAACCATGATCACAACACTTCTTTTAGCATTCTCTTCCGTAGTCGGTTGTGCACTGAAGCGGCCGATGCTATCTCGGGCTGTAGTAGCATTGTACCGGCCGGTAGCGGCGTTCTTGTTCTGCGACTGAATAGTCGCTGCACCGGATTTACTTCCATCTCGGTAGACGGCCTGTTTCCTCGCTCTAACAACATTACGTAAGGATCATCGTGGGTTTCCTTGGCTTTGGTAAGCACTTTCTTCGCCTCCTTCACTGCTCACTCAGCCTTCGCATTTGATTGGCTGTGGTACGGGCTGATGAGGCGATGCCGAAAACCTTAATTCTCGCTAAAAGCGCGGAATTCTGCACCACTGAATTGCCGAACGTTGTCGAAAATCACCACCTCGGATATTCCATGCCGAAGGAATTGACACCGCAACTTGTTAAAGATGGTACAAAGAACTCAGCAGCAACAAAAGTTACGTGATTCTAAATTATGTTGATATCATACACCCCAGATTACATATTTCA